CGCCACGTCGCACATGGCGTGCGTACCCAGCGGCTGTCAGAGATGCGTCGTGCTGGTGGAGCAGTGTACTTCACGTTTTAACAGCTGCACCAGATTTGATGCTGTGGTAAGGACATTGGCCTGTAGCTGGTGGTCCGGTGGTGAATTCCCGTCTCCACGGGGACCAGGCTTCAGTTCCAGAGACACACCTCGTGAGCAGCCACCACTCGTCTCAGTGGAGGCTTGGGTCGAGCTCGGACGCGCAACAGGTTTCAGCAAACTTTGCAGACTCAGACTCCCTGGGGAGAAAGGCCTGGTCATCTAACCCCCAAACCAACCAGGACAACCTGCTGGCTCACAGTAGTCCTGTCCCCCGTGACTGGGTAACCCACCAGGACTCGGAAGCTGATTTGATGGTAGCCAAGAGCAGCAACTTCTCTCTACTGCACACCGCCTGACCACCTCGGACGCCGCCTGACCACCTGTGTCTCCTCAGCAACCGTCTGGGCGCTCCTCTCTGGACCTTTGACTCTTGTGGTATCTGTCCCTTTGGAATGACAGTGGGACCGGCTGGAGTCATATCCTGCTCCAAGCCATCTGTAGCCTCAAACTGCTTGGAATGCATAGCAAACCCACACTTGTTAGCTAGACAACTGGAGCCTGATGGCGGGATGGTCCTGTCTCCACGAACAGCCCCACAAGGTGCCGGGTCTCTCAAGTACTCACTCGGAGAAGCTCGGATTAGGGTCTGTGGGAACGTCCTGCAGGGCCGGCTCCGGTGCCCCCTCTGCGGCTGTCACCCAGGGCCAGCTGTGGTGCTGGCGGCTGCTCCCTTCTCTGCAGGCAGCTGGGGGGCCGGAGCCGGGGGGGGGCGCAGCTGGCCAGGAAGAGCTCAGTGCCAAACCAGCGCCAGGAGGACCGACTGCCGTTTTGGACCACGCAACTTGCTCCAAAACGCAACGTTTGAGCACTGAGGACTCATGCCAAGGAAATAATAAGGCGAGCCCCGATCCAGGAAACAATCCACCGATCTTTGACCCTCGGCCATATACTCAGCAGCCCTGGGCATTCGAGGCCTGGACGGAACAAACGAACCTGAGCTTTGAACTCCAGGGTGCTAAGGAGAGTTACAAGCACAGTGGCCCCCAGTGTGTCCCTGGGCGTGTCTGGGACCCTCAGCACGGTCAGCCCACTACTGTCCTCCCCCAGGCTCCATACCCAGACACAGAGAGAGGGGTGCTGGAAAAGGAACCCAGAGTTCTTACTGGGCAAGCCCCATCTCGCAGCCACTCACTTTTGGTGACTTTAGGGGAAACTCTGATCCATGGTCACGAATCCAGGCATTTGGGAACTGGCAGAGCCCTGAGTGCCCACTGGCCTCCAAGACTGAGTTCTGAATACCACATGCTTGCCGGAAGGCTCTGGATCTCTCAGAATCACCACCCAGTTAGGGACTAGCATCGCAGACAGCTTACACCCCGCATTGCCCCTGGGTGGTACTCGGTGCCAACTGAAGGCTGGAGGCTTGAGGCCCCCCCAGGTGCCTGAAGAGGGGCCTGGTGACGTCCTCCTGAAAAGTCAGCCATGGAAAAGCCCGTGATGCAGAGAGAG